CCTCCTTTCGGAGAATGAAATACATCTGAAAATATTCTACAATATTGTTTGACTAGGTGACGTTCATGGTGTATGTCTGCAGCACCCCAAGGTGGATTTGTTTTATAACAAATGAACAATCATGGACAATAATGCATATTTCTATTGAACTAAGAATACCCAAAATAAAACTCTCGTAATAATGCAAATGTGAGTTAGACAAATTCTCCCAATTCTCCAAATAACGGATACAAATTTAATTAATTCATTATAAAACATAATTGTTCCCGACAAATGAATTTTTCGTATTTTGAAAACAAAAATGCTAGTCATATTACATTTGTATACTACATTGTGTATCACCTCTTTAATAGAAGTGGTACACAATGTGGTATGCCTAGCATTGCTTGTGTGATAACTTGATGATGTACTGTTTAATGTAAAACATATCCAAGTTGTCATTCATTCATGTTGAACTTTCATTTGGAAAATTGTTTGCTCAATATTATATTTATAGCAGAAAATATCATATGCATGACTAAACTCTAAAGAAAATGTACATTAAAAAAAAAGTGGCAACAGTCACCATTATTTGGTGACTAAAGCCTTTAGTAACCCCCACATTAGTCACCAAATGTCACCAAATAATGGTGACTGTTGCCACCTTTTTTTGTAGTGTGTCATGTACTGATCACAATCGTTTCTTAATTAATAAAAGCATTTTTATTTTTGGATTAAGGAAACCGTTTCTTCATTGAACTAATCTTCCTGAAACTTACTATTTAAAGCTGAAAAAAACCATTGAAAATATATTAAAGACTAAACATCATACTCGTTAAGCATAGAAAGAATTGAAGAAACAGATTTAACATATATCTGTGCCGGCACTGCCACTGCCAATATCATCAATTAATATATCTGTGCATTGTGTGTGTCTGTTTCATGTATCACTTTCATGCGTGAGGTAAAACAACTCATATTCGAATAGAAGAAAGCTATGCCAGTCAAGTTTAGATAAGATCATTAATTGTTGAGATTGTGACCAGTGACCATAAATTTATTTCAAAATTTTAGCCGCTAACGCAACACTTAAGTAATTTAAAATAGTATCGTTATCTTACTTGTTAGAAATAAATGACATCGAAACTGAACTTAGACATAACAAATAAACTATGGTCACATAAGTTAGAGATGTACCATTATTCATGTAATGCTAACTCAGACAACCACTTCGACCTTTTTTTTAAACGAGAACATGAAGCTGATGAAGCTGAAAGTAACTTGGAAGCTAAAAGATATTGATTTTATTAAACTTGTGGTGGGCTTAAATCTTGAAAAATAATGGAGATGGGGCTCATGATGTATGAAGAAAAGGACTAAGCAGCACACCTACAAAACCAGAAAGAAACAGGAAGCTGCAGAATGATCATAAGTAATGTGATTGGACAAGACACAAATATATATTTATAGTAGCAACAAGCAAGCAGCAAGTAGTACACAAAACAAAAACAAACACGGCTATAGGTGTCACTAGTTTCTTGAAGCTTAAATATGGCAGTAGCTTGATAGAGTTAAAGAAATGATAGCCCAATTGGATGATTAAAACTATCCAAATTCCAGAGTCCCAGGGGATTAAGTAAGAGGGGTCCCAATGATAATCCCATTTGCACTTCACTCATTACCGGACAATAATGATCACTATATGTGATAAGAGACTCTAACACGGCTCTCCTGGAATCTAAAACATTATCTAAGCTATTTATTTATTTTTAAATAAAATAAATGATGAATGAGAATCGAATCAACGACCCTTTTTAGTTGATTAGCTTTCTCGTTTTTTTAGTATAATTAAATTTTTTAAAGTGAAACTCGCCTAGTAAATAATTTCTTATGTATAAATAAACGCAAGAAACCTATTACCTATAAGTAAAGAGTCTGATGATTTCCCCACTCCAATTTTGTTCACTTACACTCCATTTTATAACTGAAAAAGAAGTGTAAGTGGTCAAAATGAAAGTGGGGAAATCATTACCCTAAGTAAACTTGCTTAGACAATGTGCAATTGCAAAAGTTCAATGATGGGCTAAATGTAGCCATATGTACGTATCAACTCTTGGTAATTAAACCAAAGACTTTTATATCCCCATTACCACCAAACCTAAATGTGAAATGTCCACGTGGACCATATCTATATGTGGCACCACCTTGTCCATTGTCCCAATACCATATATACATTTGGTTTCACTCTCAACCACTAGCTTTAAGACTTAGGGTCAAACTATGATCATTGCTTTGGGGACCAAGACTCGCCTCACAATAACAAAAGTGGTCTTGGATTTTTTCCCCAATGTAGAAGGTTCGAGCACTTACTTATGTTGCAGAAGGTGTAAGTGGAGAAGATCAAATAAAAACAGTGTCTTAAACTGATTGGCCAATTGAATTTTGAGCACAAGCGCATTAGATATCAAACATCTTATTTCTCCTTATTAAAACCTCCACAGATTCAAAGTTGGTAAATTAAGTTTTAGTCAAGTTGCTTAGCCTTCTTTTTCATCATCATTTTTATGTTGAAGGAGCAAATCAACTTTCATGTTTTTGGTTTATCCACAAGATAGTCAAAGTTGAGTGTATACAATATTAATTAACGTAAGAAAGTTTAGCACGTGCGCATACAATATTGTAGCTAGTCATCCTTTAGGGTCCATTTGATAATCATTTCAGTTTTCTGTTTTCATTTTCTAAAAACTGAAAACTTGTTTGGTAATTAATTTTAGTTTTCAAAACAAGTGAAAAGTGAAAACAGAACAAACGTTGTTTGTTCGATAATTGATTTTAATTTTCAGTTTTCAATTTTATGTGGAACTTTCAAGTGGAATTTTTTGGGGGTTAAATTGTGAATTTGATATCATAGAATGAAAGTGTATGTTACGAAGAGTTCGTAGTATTTTTCAATGAATTATTTGGAATTAGAATGATTTTTTTTGGGGTGAATTTTGTATATGGAGGTCATGAGGCTTGGACTGGGTCTATGGCTGAACACAGGAATCAAGCGGCTGAGCCCAAGTCGGGAGCTCATAGTGTATGCTGGGCAAAGGTTCTCAACACCTTTATATTTTGCTTATTTCTCATCAATGAAACCAGTATAACAGTAAATTTAGGCACTTTTTCTATACTCTTGAGAAGGTACCATCTTTCATTCAGTTATAAATCATATGTATGAGCTACGTCAATCATCATTAGCCCTTGAAATAATTTTTCAATTTAGATTCAGAAAACAAATTACTTTGAGTATAAAAGATTAATACATGCACGAATAAGAATGCTGCCACAACGAACCAATGCACTGCAAAACTCAAGGAAGAATAGGAAGCAACAACAATTTATATCAGTTTGAAACTTGAAGGGCTCATATTATTAAATATCTTTAGATTGTCTTTTGAAAATGTTGTTGACGTGTGTGATTTCTACAGGAGAATCAGCCACAGAACTCACCATCAGAACCATGGACATGTTGAGAATGATGAGTCTTGGGTTCCTGTAAGTGCTTCTCTTAATTCACATTGCTCCTTCCATGTTTAATTTTGATTTTATTTTTATTAGTCGCAATGCTAGCTCTTACTTTGCATTAATGTAAGTACTAGTTCGGATGTTTTAATTAGTGGTTAACATGTCTGTGTTTTGCTATCTTTGCTAGTTGACTGAGAAGGTTTATTCAAGTTTGCATGAAAGTACAAGAAAATTCAGATTCAGAGTGCCATACCCCATCTTTGCATACCCTTTCTATCTGGTGAGAAAACCCATCTTTTATTGAACATATGTAAACATGAATGGGCTAAGCTTGCGGACTTAAGAGTTAAATTGTATGTTTATGCACTTGAAAACAGACAATGAATAAGACTCTGAAATATCATCAAAAAATTAATTTAATACTTACTATTTCTCATGCTCAGAACGTATTTTCTCCTCTAAAGGTATCTTGTGGGGTTTAAATAGAAAATCTCTTTTATTTCTTATTTTTTTCAGCTTGGGGTGTATTTAAGGGTAGTTTGGGAAGATAGTGGGGTTTACTTAGAAATTGTGAAAATTTAAATTAAAAGTTGGGGTGAACTTAGAACATGGGGTGAACTAAGAGAAATGTGGGGTTTAAATAGAAAATCTCTTTCAGTTTTCCGTTTTCATTTTCTAAAAATTGAAAACTTGTTTGGTAATTAATTTTAGTTTTCAAAACAAGTGAAAAGTGAAAACAGAACAAACGTTGTTTGTTCGATAATTGATTTTAATTTTCAGTTTTCAATTTTATGTGGAACTTTCAAGTGGAATTTTTTGGGGGTTAAATTGTGAATTTGAGATCATAGAATGAAAGTGTATGTTACGAAGAGTTCGTAGTATTTTTCAGTGAATTATTTGGAATTAGAATGATTTTTTTGGGGGTGAATTTTGTATATGGAGGTCATGAGGCTTGGACTGGGTCTATGGCTAAACACAGGAATCAAGCGGCCGAGCCCAAGTCGGGAGGTCCAAAAGACCGAGTTTTGTTAGCTGGAGTGCATTTCATATGTGGTGATGTAAAATTAGTGAATGAAAAAATGAACGCAAAAAAAAAAAACGAAAACTGAAAACACTTTCAAGTTGTTTTAAAAAATAAGGGTGATTTTGAGTCTATTTTAGTCATTATTATTCACAACACTTTAAAATACTTGTTTACCAAACATAGAGCTACTTTACTTTACAGCTAATTATTTTCAAAGCACATCATAATCAATTTTTTATAAAAATGACAACAATCCCAAATTGGCCCTAAGTCAAAAGCGGCCAGGATTAGACAAACATCTCCACATTGAAGACATCAAGATTTGTGAGCTTATATATAATAACAAAAAAGAGTTTGCAATGGGTTCGAAACCATTGGAAGCACTTTGTGGCCAAGGATAAACCGAACCCCAAGCGGGGATTAATGGGTGTGAGGACACCTCATGGTATTTACCCAAAATAGGAAAATGAGTTTGCAATGGCTGAAATGATTTCTTGCAACTTGCATTTAAATGCATAACACTTATGCCCCGAACCGTATATATATATATATACGATATTATTATTACAACAGAATGACAAAACCCTAACAAATGAACAAATCATAAAGACATCTAAGATGAAAAGGCATGCAACACGAGCTAACTAGTTTGACACAGAATTAATACACAGATTCTATTGGAAACTTTAATTAGTATAGAGCTCTTCAAGTGTGGATCGCAACGTAGAATACACAGCGCGCCAGCCCTGCTGGGTAGGGTGAGAATTGTCCCAAAAGAATGTAGATTTAGGATTTTGACAAATGGTATATTTCTTTGCGCCATTTGCATCCAGACTCCCACAATAATATCCACTGCTTACACCAACACAACATGGCCTCAAAGGGTTCTCAAACTTTATGCTTCCTGCTAAAGAACGAAATTATTGATAGTTCGTGTATTAGCTCCAAAATATAAAAACCGAAGAGAGAAAGAAGTGACCTAACATAAAGGGTAACGTTGTCTTATAAAATGAAAGCTAAAGAGAGACTCAGCGAGAGAGAGAGAGTTAGTAAGTAGTCACCTAGGTCGCCTTTGTTCTTGAACACAGATGTGAAGGAGGTATAAAGATCGAGAATGAGGAAAGAAGAAGAGTTCGTTTCGTTGTTCAACTTGGCCACAGCTTGCTGCAACAAGAGGTTGTGGAAACCGACAAGGGCGTTCTCCGTTCCATTGCACTTTTGGAAAGAAAATTCGGCTGTGCTCTGAGGGAGACATCCCAGAGGTTCAAGAGCTATGACAACTATTTTGTTCACTCCCAAGTCATATATACGTTTCAAGTTCACAGTCAATTGATTTACTACTGATGTGATGAAGGGTTGCCAACCCTGTAATTAACACAGATAAACAGAGAGAGAGAGAGAGAGAGAGAGTTCAAATATGTTGGTGCTTTAAAATTTTCAATTAATAACTTGCATCTCCAATTTTTATCAACATGAAACTTCTTCTTTTTTTGGTGAAAACTCAAATGAAAATTTACACATGTAGATTAATATCTCTGTTGTTAATTGAATACTAATTCTGAATAGATTTTGTTATATGGATTATTTTATATGCTGACCTGAACAGAGCCATTTGTGGCCACATAAGTCGCGTAGTCATTGCCGGAAACCGTGACGAGGGCCACGGAGAAGTGGAGATCCTTGGGGGTGAAGACAGAGTCGTTTTTTATGAGATTCTGGAAGAAGTCAATCTGGGTTGTCATGTTAGGGTCCAAAACCAAGGTCTTAAACACACCTGTGCCTCCATGTGCAAAATTCACTCCATATTTCAAATGTTGGACCCCGATTTTTCTAAATCTGTATGGTAGCGGAGATTTCACACCTATGAACTTTGCTGCATCATGTGTAACAAACTGTGTTATATAAAATTTAAAATTTAGACCATTTTAATGAAGAGAATTAGGGCAGTTCTTATGTCCGGCAACCCGGACCACATGGCTATATGACCAATCTCACAAAGATTGAACCCCTGTATTTTGGTGCCATCCGGCCCCATCCGTCGTGCTGCCGATTACGGCAACCCCACAGAAGGATCGCTCTAGTGGAGTGGTTACTACAGGCAATTGGGGAATTATAATAGAAGTAGTGGAATTTTGAGTCACCAAAGGGTTGTTTTTTTTTAACCACGATGGTAAAGGACACAAACATTGCTTTACTTTACACGACACCTACAGTGTTTAGGCAGGGGCACAAATCAGATTGATTACTAACCACTAAGAAAAAGACGAAAAATCACACTGTTGGAGGGAACCAAAAGTAAGCATAAAGGGTTGAAAAAACAAGGACAGGGTGTGGTGTAAAGAAGGTTGAGACAACAAAGTAGATAATTAACAACTTAACACAGAAAACTCTGGTTAAGATTAAGAGTTAATAATGCAGATGCAGAGAAGAAGTGTCCAAAAGCTTGAAGCTACCTCACGAGAGAAAGTAAGAATTCAGCCAGACAAATGAGAGACTGAAAAAGCAAAAAGTTTACCCAATAATGCAACATTTTTACAGATAAAAAGAAAACCACCCAAAGAGCCCATTATCTTAAGAGGAAGAGGAACCCACCACCACCACTATACCATTCACAACAATAATGTATTGCTATTTTTTTATCATACACAAAAGCAGAGAAGAAACAGAGAAAACAGAGAAAACAGAGAACACAGAGAAAACAGAGCCAAAGAAAAAAGAAAAAGCTGATTGCTTTCACACTTTGCACCAAAAAGCAGAGAAGTGCACATGATTAGAAAGAGAAAATGAGACAAGGGTTTTTGGAGTTGGTACCAAGGAAATCAGTGAGGACGCGGCCATCGGAGAAACGGCCACTGGGTTTGCCTGGGAATGTGATTCCGTACGGATATTTCCAAGAACTTGCCTCTGATTTTCTGTTGTTTCCTGTGTCAGAGTATGAATCTCCAAAAACAAAGAGCTTTGTGGGCTGCCAATCAAACAGGTGGCGGGGTGTGTGGTGGCGGTGAGCAGCTGAAACTAGCAAACCTTGTTGCCCTACAAGAAAAAACAAATCAAAATTTATTTTTTATTTTTAAAAAGAAAGACAAGTAATTAATTAAGCAGTAAAATGTTAATGCAGAGGCATAGAGAGGGAGAATTTGGGACCTGACAGGAGGAAGAAGAGAAACAGAGTGGGGAGGAGGAGGAGGGTTTGAGTTATTTCCATGATTGGCAGGGTTTGCGTTTGAGAAGGCAACTGGTTTTTTTTTGGTAGAAAAGGAAGCTTTGCTTGCTAGAAGAGAGAGATGGAGATGGAGATGGAGATGATCATGTGTTCTAGTTAATTAATGAACACCTGGAAGAATGGCAGAATAAGTGAGATTCTTGGATGGTTTTTTATATATATGTAGTGGGCACAAATCAATGACATCACCCGCGGGTGAGCTAGCCTGGTCAACAACAGTGTGTGGGTTCATGGTAAAATATGTAATTGTCTAAGGGTGACATTGCAATTTGCATAAATATGCAGCCTTTTGTTCAGTCCAAAGGAAAAAAGCCAACCTGATAATCCCAAGAAATTGCTCCAAAATAAAGAAGGAATAGAATATGTCATTTTTTACAAACAAAAAAGAACAAAAATGAGAATTCTCAATCTATTATTGTTCCAATTTTCTTCAACTTTTTGTGTTGCTCTAAAGACTACGCTCTAACAAACAGGACAGGGCCGGCCTAACAAAGGGGCAGTGAATAGACGGCCTAGATTGCTCATCAAGAGCAGAATGAAGAACAGTTAGAAATTTTTATTTGCTTGTATAGGTTGTAAAGGGGTTTAGAGTTAGGACTCCTCTGTCTGTTTTATGTACTCCATAATGAGAGTCTATTGTAAACCATGTTATGAATTTGATGCGTGTAAGGTAAAATTAGAGTGTTAATGACATCACCAAATTTTTCTTAGATTTTAGATTTGTAAAACGTTAGAACGCTGATCGATATTGGTTAGCCCAAGTTACGAGCTAGAGTATGAAAAAATGATTTAGGATTAGAATAGGTTGAAGATCCCCTTCCAATGTAACCGAAAAGAAAACATTAAAATGCTAGTATTGTTTATTCTATACCTTTTGTTTTTGCTAAGATCTAAAAATAATATGCAATAGTTTTTGGTTTTAGTTTTAGTTCTATTTTTTGCACTCCCCCGTTTGTCCCCTCTCTCGCATTTCTTCTACTTGTTATCTTCTATCTCTTCCCTTCATTTCCTTAACAGAAAAACAAAATTCAAATAAAAAATGTTACTAAATGAGAATGAGCCATGAGCCCTGCCTACCACATTTAATCCAATCAAACTGAAAATATTATCATGCTGAATTTGTGCATTAATTCAAGAGAGATTCACTATTATGTTCAATATAGGGGCCCAAATTATTTTTTTAAAATCTACATAAAATGAACTTTAGAAACATATCCAAAGCTCATTTACAACATAACAAAGAGACTTCAAACTTCTTATAAATTACAAAATGGTCATCGATTTATTAAAACAAGCCCAACCCTAAAACCTCATAAAAAAATCCAAAACACTTAACATGGCATCAAAATAATTTAATTATCAAAATTAAATTCAACAAGGCTAGATGTCGTTTTTTAGGTTTATTTTTGGTTTGTTTATAGAAATTAAATAGTGTAGAGTTTATTTATATCACTAGTGCTAAGAATGGGTATATAACTAAATATCTATTAATTCAAATTTGGTCCTAGTCAATTCTTCTAGTGGGTCATTTCCAACGAGGATTATATGTTTTTGATATCTTTATACGTGTTAGACTATTTCTAATGCGAGTTGTGTTTAAATAATATCATATAAGGAATTACAAACCATGTGATTAATTGAATAGGTCAAATGAGAATTATTTTGTACTTAACGTAAATCCAAATTATTTTCTTAATCCGAACACGAGTTATACAAGACAACCCAATATAGAATTTGCACGATTGAGCCGAGACTGCCTACGAACCTATAATAAGTTAATTAAGGTCAATATTATAAAGAAAAAAATAGGTGTTCCCAGTGTGAAACCAAACGTAAGAAGGACTCTAGATTTGATAGGCCCAAGAGGTCAATGTCTAACTGTGTGAGGAGCATTGCTTAAGATCCATGGGAACCATTAGAGAACAAGAAAAGTTTTCTCACACAAACATTGACCTCCAAGTGAATTCAATATTATGAAAAAAAGTTGGCGTCCACGGGAACTGAAAGGAAACGAATGTAGGAACACCGATGAGGGCAGCAGCTTAAGGCACGAACATTACCCTCCCCAAGATGTCTTAACATGAATGGTGTCTTCGACACTAAGCATATGTGCTGGATCCAACTAAGACTGAGGTTGCGTTCATGTTGGATGATCCAAGATTATGTTAATAAGGTCAGACTGACTATGGCCCGACCCGAGGCCAGGGAAAATTTTGCATCTGCTCGTGGTTTGAATTAGTTGTGTGTCTGTCTCTTTTTTTCTGTCCTCCTGCGAGATGTCTTTTTACTCCAGAGCATGTTAGTTTTCCTACTTTGGCACTATTATTATTGTAGCAAACTGACAAGATTGATAGAATACTGATATTTTATATATGTCATTAAGAATATTTGGGATTGTTTACTATTGAAATAATAGGATACAATATCAACAACATATTGTGATGATATCGAAATAACAGAGCTATTTGTTGCAGTACTATTTGAGAACACTCTTCCTTTTCTCTTTCTTTAATGAAGAACCACTTGCTCATTTTTCCGGATAGGTCAATAACCACATTCTTCATATAATCACTTTAGGTGGTTTTAAGTGATTTTATGGAGAAGCATCTCCTATGTACTTCTCCACATAAGCAGTGGCGGATCCAGGATTCAAAAGTCAGGTAGGCGAAATTTACCTTAAAAACTCGACGGTACGAGTGAATTGCTTTTCAGAGGAAATTATCAAAAACTTCAACGAAACAGTCCGGAATTGCACAGTCAAAAGCTATTTGGCTGCTTATAAGTTGTGTTCCCTCTTTTTTTAAAGTTTGAATGGGCTATAACACATGTGGGTAGTTTTACATGGGCTGGGTAGGCAAAGGTTTACACTATCACATGTGATGGCTAGAAATAACCTTGTTTATATATAGGTTTTTTTTTAAGTGAAAAAAATTGGGGTAGGCAGCTGCCTACCCTGCCCTGGCTGTAGAACCGCCACTGCACATAAGTGATTCTGACTCTCCCAGAATCACTCCCAAACAAGCCCTTCATCAGAATTACAAATTCAGCCTCGTGGTAATAAAGATAATGCTATACCTTAACCTTAGGCACTTAGCCCATCATCATCATCTTGATAACCAAATACTATAAGCTTACAATTAAAGGAGAAGAGGAAATCTAGTAATAATATACATTCTACCTTAGTTTGATTAATGGAGTAATCTTAATGAGCAAGCCAGGGATAACATCATCAGGGTCATGGATATGTGGGTTATCTTCAACAATGTAGGGGTCTCCGCATTTTTCACTAATGGTCTGCAATGTCTCTCCTTCACCAACCATATAAATTTCATCACAGGGCTTGTTCAAATGATCCCTTTGGAGTTGGACCACCTTCGCCGTGAATTCGCTTTCGCTCCATTGGCAGCAGCTGAGAACCAGAATAAGCGCCAAGAACAAAGCACAGTACCACAAAATCTTCTCTGCCAGTGCAGTTGATGAACAGAGAACACACGCCATGTTGATCTTTTTGGCTGGTCCTTATGTCTCTGTTTGAAGTTGGTTTTTCTAAGAATTAGTGATTTGTGGTACGTGGAGAGTTGCTATGGTGCTATTTAAGAGGATTGCTTTTCTTTGGTAGTTGGAGTGGGTGCAATTCTCGGCGGGAGTTGAAACACCTCTCTTAATGTGGTAGGTATACAAATGTCAGCACATAGTACTTCATAAAATAAACAAAGAAGAGGAGCAACAGTTAGTTAAACTGCTTTTTTTATGAATGGATTTGGTCTTGGATTTTAACACCAGCATCTTCCTTATATTTTTTTAGATGGGTGCTTTGAGCTTCTGTTGGCCTAATTAAGGTCATGACACTTAACCCAAGGGGTTTGGTCTAGCTGAAATCTTGGCTAGTCCTGCAAGTTGAGCGAATGTTAGCTGGATACTCTGTGAGGTCTAGCGTTCAAAACTCAAGCTTGTGAAAAACACCTCATGGGGAGAGCTTTATCCGCAAACAGGTCCCGGCTCGGAGTGGTTGCACACTTTGCCACCATTTTGTTCACCAAAAAAAAAGTCATGACACTTATTAACAAGTGATGGTCAAAGATATTATTGAACTCATGCTCTTGTTTATTAATATTAATGAAGTATTGTATTTTATTAATCTGACATGTTATATTGTTCACCAAAAAGCAAAGCAATATTGAAGGGTATGTAAAATTGTACCAATTAAATCAGTGAGGACAAGACCATTGGAGTAACGGCCATGGGTTTGCCCGGAAAGGTGGTGCCATAAGGATATCTCCAACAGATGTTTCCGGGGTCACAGTCATTGCCTGTGGCAGAGTAGGAGTCTCCAAAAACGAACAGCTTTTGCTAATGGAGTAGGACACCAATCAGGATTCAGGCTCAGCAGCTGAAACTGGCACTACTTGTTCTCCTTGTGAACAATTCAAGCAGAAAAGCAGAGAAGTTTGTATGGCAGAATGTTTTTCTTTTAAAAAAATAAAAAAATCCTTTTCATACTCGATGGTCGAAGTCTTAACAAGAATGGTGAATCCAACTAAGACTAAGCTCGCGTTCTTATTGCCTGATCCAAGATTATCCAACTAAGACTAATCGCTAGGCGGATCCTTTGAAAAAAATAATAATAATAAACATTATAGCCGTGCGGCTATACTGGGTCCTTTTTATTTTTTTTAAATAAATAGTATAGCCGCTCGGTATACCTGTTAAATATTTATTTAAATGGTATAGCCGCCCGGCTATACCAGGTCCTTTGATTTGTTTTAATAAACAGTATAGCCGCGTGGCAATACTGTTTAAATATAATGATTTGCAATTGCATCAGACCTGAAATTGTTACGCTCAATCAGGAAAAAGAGAGAAAAGCAGGCCGATCTTCAAAACTTACATTTTATCCGACAAAGTCAATGATTAACTACAAAGAGACATAATAAACCTTCATTCCATCATACCATCTTGTGTACTAAATTATTCAATTATAAAACGCAAAGATTATTAAGAAAATCCTGAACTGAAACAACCTGTTCATGTAAATGAGAGAGCTTAGAAACTTATTATAGTCATGCCTGATTTAAGCACTTGGGTAAATAATGAAGATAAGTTAAGGTTAAGGAGTAAAGTAGTGGTAATCAGTATCTGAAACGCATAGCTAAGTTGTCTTCTTGATGTGTTAATTCAGAATTGTTATGCATAAAGCAAGCAAATCAGATATAGAAAATCCTGATAATCATCAAATCGTCAGGACCTGATAACTGAGTTGCTCAAATATTTTGACCCAGTTGACGTATAACTTGATGCTTAATTATGGAAATTTACAAGAGCAGTCCACATATAGTCACAGCCACAGTTTCTGTTTCTTCAATATTATTCTGTTTTTCCTTTTGCGGAGGGCCAGAGGGGAGGAGGGTTGGGTGTCTGATAATATTTTTAAGTCATCAACACTTAATTGTTCAAAATCTCATGATAATATTAAGTCATCAACATTTGTTGGACTCCTAGGGGCTAGGCGGGTTTTTTTTTTAAACAAATAAATAGTATAGCCGTACGGCTATACTGGGTCATTTTTATAAATAAAAAATTTGTTTTGATAAATAGTATAGCCGCGCGGCTATACGGGGTCTTTTTATAAAATTTTTGTTATAATAAATAGTATAGCCGAGCGGCTATGCTGGTTTTTTTTTAATAATAAAAAAATTGTTTATTCCTTTTTTTTTAATCGATAAGAGTAGTTTAGCGCATTTATCCATTACTATTAGGCCATTACCCAAGTCTCTATTGTCCCCTTTTGATTTTTAACTTTTTCAGAGTTATTCCCCGTATAAAGAATTTAGCATTTACCGTTTAATAATTGTATTATACACATACGTATGTATTTTTCAATAATTATTCCGTTTCCGGTACACGTCTTAAAGACTCGGTAAAATACACGGTTTTTAAAAATCAAACGCATAATACACTTATTGTATAGGTACATACATATTTTTAATGTTTAAGACACGTGTTTTTTTGCAAAATTTTCAATAATACACACAAAATTCACGTATTATACACATAATTTTCACATATGATTGAATAAAAATATTATATATTAACTATGAAAGAATGTGAGAGGCTAAGATTATTTCTTACTTACCAAAATTTTGTCAAATAAAACACGTATGTATTTCATTCGTATTTTCCTTGTTCCGTATTTTACTAACTATGAAAGAATGTGAGAGGCTAAGATTATTTCTTACTTGCTGTAAAAAAAAATGTAAGATGATGATTTTGCAATCTCTTTGCCAACTAGAACAAAAATTCAAACAAAAATTTATTGGTATAGTAGTAAGATAGGTGGTAGTATTCTTCGTGTAAAGTATTATTTGAAAAGTGAAGCAATTACCAAGACCACTCCAACTCAATATGGAATTCTCTACAACAAATAATGTGTGCAGTAACAGAATTTAGTGGCACTAGAGAGAACGAGGTATATCAAAGGCAAACATTCCCACGAAAAAGATGAAGAAAAAATTGAACTCTCATATTGATTTACTGTGAAATTTCTCTCCATTCAATATTTGCTTTGGATTTGAAACTAGCAAATTAATAAACTAATGGAAGTAGGCGACAAAATTTCAAAATTGCTAGCGCACCCTTCTTTGCAGGATTTGGTTCATATTTAAATTTGATAATGAAAGAGAAGAAAAGGAAAAAGTAAGAAAGTGCAATATTCTAATTTTTTTGGGGGGGAGCTTGAAATTACAGAATCAATCTTCTAAATTGACCAAAGCTTAATGCTAGCTTAGCTTAGCCCATTTCAGCCACAACACAAACTGAATGGCATCTTACTTACATGTCTATGTAGAATATAAATAAACTATTAATTTAACAACACATGTACAAACTCCACCTCTGAATTCTTTCTGAGAAACACAGAGGTCAACGAGGTAACGATGCTTCTAGCCCGCCATCTTCCTAATCTTAGCCGTCCGGTTGATGAAAAGTTGGGTTGTGTAGCACTTTTCTTTTACTACAGAAACTTACAATTTGAAAGGAGAAAAGAAAATCAAGTAATGTTCTACCTTAGTTTGAATGGAGTGATCTTAATGACCAAGCCAGGGAAAACATCATCAGGGTCATGAATATGTGGATTCTCTTCAACAATGTAAGGGTCCCCACATTTTTCACTGATTGTTTGCAGTGTCTCTCCTTCATGAACCACATAAATTTCATCACACGGCATGTTCAAACGATCAACTTGAAGTTGGATCGTCCTCACCCTGTACTCGTTTTCGCTCGATAACAATTCGCAGCAGCTCAGAACCAGCATCACCCCCAAGAACAAAGCACAATACCAAGAAATCTTCTCTGCAACTGCGGCCGGTGAACACACAACAACACACACCATGCTGCTGACCCTTTTGGCTTCTCAAGGCTTTAGGTTGGGTTGATTTTTCTTAGGATTTGAATTGAATTATGGTACATGGAGAGGTGTGTTCATATGGTGTTATTTAAGAGAAGGGTTCTTTTCTTTGGTGGTTGGAGTGGGCACAGTTCATGGAGGGAGTTGAAACAGTTGTCTCAATTAGGAATAAAGAAGAGGAGAAAGAGTTGGTTAAACTGCTTTTTCTTGCTGTTGTCTTCTAGGGGAGGTGATTAGAATTTCTTCACTAATACAGGCAATAAAGGCATATTAACAACAATGGTGGCTGAGAGGGTGATTTAGTCAAAGATATATATTGTGAAACCTTACTTCCTCGTTGAGATATATAATGCGGTAATGTGTCTTATTTGTCAATGAAATTATGAAATACTCGAAAACTATATCTTCTGCCGCCCGATAGATTGATTAATTAGCTACATGACGATTGTAAATAGCTATTAAACACTATATAAGACAACAAAGGATGTGGCAATGGACCATGGTTTATATCAAATAACATATCTATCTATAAGACCCCGATAGTACCTTTTAGGTTGTCCCTCGATAAAAAAAGGAAGTTGTTCTTGACACTTTAAAATAGTCGGTCTGCACTCTTCCTTAATGAAAAGACGAAAAACAAAATGGAGAGCAAGATGACTATTTTGGATTGCTAATAACAATTTTTTTATTTTATTTTTCAGTTCTTACCATATTTGTAATGGGTCATTGAAATGTTTATACTAAATGTTCAGAATTGCTAAGATCATGCGTGTGTATTTTGGTACCCATGCAAATAAATGAAATATAATCTTAGAAAGCATTTTGGGTAGCCATGATTTGTATATTTTATCATTTGGACTCAATTATTAGAAACCAGATAAACCGGTACCGCATAAAACAACACACAGAGTAAATGTTCGACTCAATCAGTGCAGGATTATCATCCAAACAGAGCACACAGTTGGGCAGTCACATACACAAGAATGGACTGGTGTTAGATTTCTTGAGGTTCAAAGTATAGAAGAAAAAAGTTTTGGAAGGTTTGCTTGAGAAGAAACCGAGTAATTGTACGTCAGCCAAGTGGTTTAAGTAAAATATATTCAACCGATGGGGAAAGCAAATTGTTCAAGGAACCATATTTTCTGATCGATTGATATGTGTATATCATATCGATCATTATGACCAACTGTTAATTTACACATCAACCATCACATCGTGTGCTCAAGGAAAACCAAATGGCTCAAGAATCTGATTGCACAAAAGTTCCAACATGTTGACAACTTTCATTAACAGCTAATTGGATAAATATTTAGCAAATGTTTTACAAGTTCAGGATATTGAAGGGGAAGGTTGCACAGGCGAGCTAGCTCTTTACTAGCTCTAAGAAGGAAAGAAAATTCATGAAGCAATTTTCGTCGGTAACAAGAGGCAACCCAACTTTCATTTTACAATTTGTGTTTTTATTGACATTTGGATTGCAGTTACATAATGCCACAGCTTTCACGATTTCATTAATCGACTTCTTATATAATCGAGGACTTCATCCACTTTCACTGTCCAAGCAACTTCAACAGGGGAATAGCCTGTCCATGGATTGCTTGAATTCCAACTGTAATAGAGCAAACATAATTATCAAAATGGCATCTAACAGAAATAGGATTTTCACAAGAGTATAATAATCCGCTCATACTTTTTAAGTCCTTGATCCATCAGTGTGTGCCCAACACAGATGCCCTGAGTTTCAACCCTCACAACCCCCTTCTTGTATGTAAAGAGATCAGGCCGGACCAGTGCTACAAAACTGACTGGGTCGTGAAGGAAAATCCCTGAAACAATGTCAGAGAGTAATTGAGATGTATTGCTTCAGACACGAAATGAAAGAACATAAAAACTATTGAACTAAGTGTAGGGGTTATTGCATAAATAAGCTACCATGAACACCATCAGATTCAACATGCCAATCTCTGTAGAATTTGCACGTGTTGCTTATCAGCTGAGCATGCTTTCCTTTAGATTGACGCAGTTGAAGGAGGTCATCATCTGAAACAGAAATACTATTTCACAGTTCCCCAATCTCTGTAGAATTTGCACGTGTTGCTTATCAGCTGAGCATGCTTTCCTTTAGATTGACGCAGTTGAAGGAGGTCATCATCTGAAACAGAAATACTATTTCACAGTTCCCTTAAAACAGCACGAGAAGATGGTTGAAAAGTTAAACAAACTATAAACTGGTGTTCCACCTGTAAATTGAACTTGGGTTGTAATATTTATTCCAACAACAGTAATGTTTGCCCCAGAAGTAAACACAACATCTGCTGCTTCCGGGTCTCCATAAATCTGCAAGTCAGAGACTGGTGTCATCATGTACAATTCGTTGAGATGATGGAACATTTTAATATTATACTCGCTACTTGTAGTGCAATAACATTCTTTCCCTTCAGAAAAGGGTAATGAAAGAACAGTGTTATACAAGTACAAGAGCTGAAAGTAGGCCAGAGGGATGGAAACAAATCCCAAGAAAATGTTTTCGTTGCGATAAAACATAATATAATATGGCGATCCGTGATCTAAGTTTTGTGACTACAGCCTACAATTAGGATCATTGTGGCAGAAAGAGGTGGCACTTACATTTGCTTCCGCAGCAGGATTTACATTTCCCAGTGCAAAGAAAGCACCACCAAGTACGACCACCCTCTTGACCTTTTTCGCAAAGGAAGAATCTCTTTTGATTGCCTAAGCAAGGAACGATGCACATATTAGGGAAAGCTAATAAGAATTCAGAAGCTCAAGGCAAACACAAAAAAGGAAAAATGATACTTCAACTTACCAGTGCTAAGTTTGTCAAGGGACCAAGAGCAAGTATAGATACTTCTCCAGGATATTCAGAGACCATATCAACTAAAAATTCAGAACCATTCTTCTCAATTTTCTTTCTTTCTGGAGGAGGTAGAAATATGTTCCCCAATCCATCAGAACCATGTATAAAGTCAGCAACACGTGGCCTTCCACCCTTTTTTCAAGAATGAAACATAGTTATGATAAACTAAATAAAGTATGTTCAATTAGGAAATTAACGGAGTCATTGGGAGGAGGTGAAGGGTACTTAAATGATGAAATGTATATCAAAATATTACCTTCAGAGGCTCAGGGCTTCCCTCCGCCACAGGCAAACTTGGATGCCCTGCGATCTCACACTATCCTTTTGCACATTTAAAACACTAATTGATCATGAACACACTAAAAAATGAAGGGAAAAAAAGGATAGACACTAGACAAGACAGGCCCAAAGACATTAAAAAGGCTCAGTCTACAAGAAGAGGGAAATCAATTGATACAAGTACATACCAGAAGCAAGGCATTGCGAGTGGCATCTTCTGTGGTAACATTACCAAATATTGTTGTCAATCCCAAGATTTCCAACTCCGGAGTTTGAAATGCCATTAAGATAGCCATGGTATCATCTGTTTATTACCGATAGAAATATCACACATGAAACATGTCCAGAACAGAAAGGAGAAAAAGAAGTCGTTACAAGCTGTTCATAAACCAGTATCTATATATCCATAACCAGAAGGTTTTCCAATATCATTTTATCCAACTTCAAAAATGTTATTTGGATCCAATTTTATGCAGGAATTACAAAATTTTCTGCAACCTCACTGATTCATTAGAGTGCATAGTAATACATTGATAATAACAGCAAATGAACTTCTCACACTGCCCGCCAACACCTCCCCCTTCCCTTTCTCTAGTTTTTCTTGCCTTTTCAAATGTTATAGCAGATGCTCTCGAAAACTTTTGCAGGAACTAGACATACTTTAATATTTAAAAAGAAAAAGAAAAAGAAAAATTCAAAACTCATCTTCAGAAGAGCAGAAAGCAAATTGTTTAACTAAATAGAACTGTAAAATTTATCAATTATTCCGATTAAAACATAATTGACACCCAAAAACAATATTTTATCCCCTTTCTTTTTCAAACTTCACTCATTAATAAAGCATGCGAATAAGAGAAGAAAAAAAAACCATCGTTTCCTTTGCTTCTAATCAATTTCCAGTTCCCAGTAGGGTGAAATAGTTGAAAACACCAACAAATAATTCCAAAATGCAATTACATTCCACAACGCAATTACTTTATTTGCTAAAGAAATAAAACTGAAGGAAATGTTTGGCTATTTCAACAGAACAAACCGAAAAAAGGAAGAAGAAGTCTGGGAAGGCTATACTTGGGTGGGCTAATGTTTTAGTTTAGGCTTAAAAACATACAAGTCACCTGGGCTATAGCCCATGTTGCCCCCTTCTAAGATCCGTCCCTGTTCACATACAAACAATTAAACATTCGATAAAGAAACACGTCAAAATGGAAAACTCCTTTTGCCTGCTGCAAATGTAGCAAAAGTGCCTAACCGTTCTTTAGCTGAGGCAAGTTGCTCACTTTGCACGACTCATAACATCAAACACATAAAAATCAAAATTTTCAATTACATCCTCTTTCCTTTTTCTCACACTTTCTCAGCAACCAAACAGAGAATAGAAGCAGGAATAGGAACACACAAAACAGCAAAAGACGCGAGAAATGAAACGGAAAAACTAACCAATTCCAGGGTCAGTATCAATAATGAGCTTCTCACGCTTCAGCTGACAGTCCAAAACGCCGTCGCTTTCGCCATCGAGCACCACACCGTGAGTATTCGTCATCGTGCTCCCCAAAAACGCCTCCGATCTCAGAACGATTAGGTCGCAGAAGGTAGCGAGAGAAGAACCAGAGGACAGAGTATTTATATAATGTGTATGTATATGCGCGTGTATATTATATATTATACATCAACATATACATACACACATAGCATGAAATATTATAATCGAAATTGGGGTTTCGTCCAATTCGAAGGGACGAAGAGAGCGATGCGAAGCTCAGCTGCCGCGAGGCCTCTGGGCGAGACATATTGGTTGGTTTTGTTAGGTGCCCGAAGATGAAGAAAGGTGTCCGGGCCAATTAGAAACCGACACGTGGGGGGGTTCCAAATGGATCTGAATCTAGTCCGGTCTCTTTGCTTTTTTCTATTAATTAAGGGTCGTTTGGTAGTGATTCTGCAAAAAGCACTTCTATGGAGAATTATTTCTCGATATAATCACTTTAAGTGATTTTATGGAGAAGTACATGGAAGTTGCTTCTCCCCATAGTCACTTAAAATCTCTTAAAGTGATTATATAGCGAAACACGTGGGAGGTGCTTCTTTCTAAAAATGATTTTAGATAAGCCAGAATCACTCCCAAACAATTTATTTTATTTTCTGTTTTCATTGTAAATTACAATGGCGAACATCCCCAGCTCAACAGAATATTCTTCACGGGGGGCGTAAATTGAAAGGATAGAATTAGGCTTCTAACTTGAGTAAGGCATATCCAATACAAGAAAGAAATGAGTTGATTCCAATGGTGGTTATAATCACACTACATTGTTAGACGCAACACACTCGGATAGTCGGCTAAGATAATAATAATATTCAAACTTCTACTATTTGGTTTGGTCGATTTTGTTGACTTTTGTAAGACTAATTTTTGAATGATGACCTTAAATAATGAACAGTTTGAATGATACATTTGCGTGGACTGAAATGAGTGATTAGCATCATATTAACTTGTTAACCAATTCTCGCTTGAGTGCTCTTGTTTTTAAGCAAGTTTAGTGCTGTCAACCATAACTAAAAATAGTAATTGTAAATGCATGAAAAGTTAATATTACCTACTCCTACTCTTTTTGGGATTAGTCATTTATAATATCTAGTTTTTTTTTTATAAAAAAATGCAAATAAGATAAGGCATCTTAACCTAACATTTGATCCTGCTTAATTTCTAAAGCCAAAGACCAATTGAAAGGGATTGGGGGAAATGGGTGTGGGGTTTTAACACTTTCATTAATATGTAGTTGTCTGATTTTGACATATATTATTTATGATTCCACGCAACCACATGAATTGGATTGGTTATTTTATAATGAAAATCTAATTATTCTTATCCTCCTTCATTATTAATTATTTCTAACAAGAACTGTGATCAGAAAATTAATTAATATTAGTTACTAACAAACCATTTTTTAAAGAGCTTTATAAAGTCAAATTTGGATTACACATCAGGATGCAATTCTCTTGATGATTTGCTTAAACTTAAACCCCACTAATGTCATAATCCTGGATCATGATTATAAATGATAGAGAATTAATTAGGGAAGGGTTAGCATTTTAAAACCTTTAATTACATGTGTAGATCGACTCTTGGTCCCGATTATAATTAGAATTTATTAGTTGGACTAAATCAAAAGTATTTTTTTATCCCAACCAGCATAAAAAATGAATTGAATAATCTGATGACACCACTTTTACAATTGAGCAGAGCATTAGGTGATGACCTCACCATGCACCATGACCAAATTATGAGATGAGAACCACTTTTCTTCAATATTACTCAACCTTAAATTATGGAACGCGTGAGAAATTATTGTTTCCATTGGTTTACGACACCACCGCTTTTCCATTGGTTTACGACACCACCGCAATATGAAGACGTGAATGTAAACGAATACGTGAATTAGGTCAGTTGGCTATAATAGCGAACCCGCCGCCCCTCTTACAACCAAATTCCAAATTCGAATCTCAAGTTCACGTTTCAGAACACGGCAATAGACATGTGGGCAAGAATTGCACACGTCTGAGTGACATCCCACACAATCAGCAGAGGTTCACAATATTTAATTGTTTGATGTCAAGACAAAAGCATGTGGTCACACATGCGGTATTATGGTAAAGCCACTTGAAAATAATTCATGTAAAACAGAGACCAAAACCAACATCAAATCTTGAATCAACAGAAGGTGGCCACTTTGGACACATCACCAACCACCACATGTGGTGGGTTTGCTTAAAGCTTATCTTTTTATCCTGCCGATTTCATGCCCTCGAATATTAAGAGCAAATTTACTATTAAAACACCAAAAGGGTTTTTGGAATTTGATGGTTTCTAATTGCTTCAGATTTCTGTGTATGATGCATAGTAATATTGGTAAAGATGGATAAATAGATACAAAACTCTGATTTGCCCATTTACAGCCAAAGCAAAACACAAACAACATTTCTATGTATGGCCCCATTTACAGACGTGTTTAAAATTTTTGCCATACAACTGGTCCAAGGAGCTATACGATTTGGTGCGCCAAAAGGGTCAGGATTAATCAGTTTGTTTTGGTGGAACTTATACTTTCAACTACACTGATGTAACCCGAAGGAAGACTTCTGGTTCCTTACCCCCCCGGGGAAAACTTTGGCCCACTAGGATTACTCCGATTCAACCGTAAGACTTTCTACTGCAAAATTTGGCCCCTGCACCAGATGAAAGAACTACGCGATGCCAGTCACCTACCAACCGTTGGACAAGAGGGAAAAAAATATGAGTGCAGGCACACAAACATAAAAGAAATAACTAATCTCTTGGCTAACCAACCACCTAGGTTAATTGAGACTCGGACCACAATCAAATATCCACACTTCCACAAACATCACAAGCTATGCATCATAACCTCAAAAATAAGAGCAACATTTACTCTAGGAAATTCTGAACTATCAACATGCAGTATGCTTAACACAAATTATCAGCAGCAATTAGCATACGTGACCACAAATATCTGCATCATATTTGACATACCTTTTTAGTATAAATCTGCTCGCAACAGTTAAGGTCATTAAGTAACTTCACGCATTTTGGTGTTTTGGGAGCTTATGACGTTGGCAGGTGCTTTAACAAGACTACCTTTTGCATTTCCAGTGGCTTGTCCAGTTGAACTCCTAGCATTTGCTGTCTCAGTTGCTACTATGGACTTCTTTATCTGTCAAATAAGGGAGAGAAAAAATAAAACAGGAGAAATATAACGAGCGAGTATTACACATTTCTGTTGATATCATGCATTAATCTAAACACCCAAATTCCACTCAAAGTTTAGCAAAGAAAACATGCATGAGCCAATTCCCAACCCAAACTTCACACACACACAATGTGTAGAGGTGTACGAATGTCCATAGAGCAGGGAAAATACACAGGCCAGACTTACAACAGAAAGACGCTCTTTGTGAATATCGTTTATGAGCTGCAAAGCCATCACACAAAACAAATTCATCAATTAATTAATTAAAAAAATACTGTTTTTTTGTATAACCATAAGCATAGGTTCTTAAGTTTTACAATCTAAACATAACAGTAACCAGTCAATCAATGCTTACGGGTTTCCTGAAGCCCTTAATCTCATCTCCACCAAACCCAGGAAGAGTTATATTCCAATTTTTTTCTGTATGAAACCAAATAAGATATAGATTATTAAGCACTAGATGTACATAATGTGAACAGAAAATCATCGAGGGCTTCTCTCACATAACTAACCAATATGTAGAAGTATGTCTTTTGCTTCTAACGTAGTTGATTTTCGATGCTTGGCTAGTGAGCAACTAAATGTTGTAATCTGCCCACCGAAAAAAGCATACTCTCAACATAAGAATTATGACAAAAATATATTATAATTATCTAGAAAACAAGAATAGAGTGGATAAGGCACAATCATTATAGAGTATATTGAAAGCGATGAAGCAAATACCATACAAGACAATTGAGCAAAATAAAGCCTTATCATAAGGATACCCATGAGTTTAACCAAAAAGGAAAAGATAGTCAATACTTAAAAATTAAGACACTGTGAACATTAGGAATTTCAAAAAATTCAGAACAAATTCCTTCTTGAACTGGCACCAACTGAACACTCAATGAAATAAAAATAAATAAAATAACAACATCCTTTTAAACAGATAATTTCTTAGAGAAAATCAGAAAAAATCTCACAACACATAAATATGACTGCTTAATGTTCTTTTGATTCTTTTGGGAAAACATCTGTGAGAACAAACTAAAAAGTTACCATGGTCAGCAACATACAAAAAGGTCTAGTTTCACGAAACAATACAATTCTAAATTGACAAAATTTGTTTAGGCATATATGCTGAATAAAAATCAGGGATATCCTTTAAGTGCAAGAAAAAAAAGAGACAAAATATTAGTTAAATTACTCACAGACTCAACAAATTCATCTGCAATATCCATGAGAATGTCTTCAACTTCTGGATCTAACTTCTCAGATGGATCAATCTGTCCAAAAGAAGAAAACTTAGTAACAGAAGGCAAAAACGAAAGAAATTGAATTTCACATGTATTCTGAATGAAAAGAAAAAATATTTTATAGTCAAGCGGTTGGGAAGGCAGTTCCCTCTTAAATAATGTGGAATATATGGAGAAAAAATAATACAACATTTTAGAGATATTGGAGCTGCCAATTCAAATGCTAGAGGCAATTTTCTGACCCAAATTTAAATGGACGAAACTATTTCCTTTAAGAACCAATTAAAAAAATGTGACATATGCATCCACTCTAACATGAAATGTATGTCTTTTAAAATTAGTTTTAACAGTGACTGATGAAACTTCTGGACTAAAGCTAGCATGCACAAACATCCAAATATGATGAAAGAAGGCCAACATGACTTACCTGGTTAACTAGCTCATGGATGCTTCTTTTGCTAAGAATTCTATTACAAGATTCATCCGTTTCTGCACTAGCAGTTTTATTTTGGGGCCCTGATTGGACTGTGTTAGGCTGTACTGATGCAAGAGAGGAAGACTTCTGGTTTGCCAGGTTCTGGACCCTTGTAATTTGACGGGGGGTCATTTGTGGGATCCTTGATGGTTGAACTTGTTGCCCAAAATGCTCGGGCCCCTGATGCGATGAAGAAGGTTGTTGATGCTGCGCTGGTGATGTATGCTGTTGCTGTGAAGCTGAAGGCAGAGGATGGTGCTGTTGCTGTGAAGCTGAAGGCAGGGGATGGTGCTGTTGCTGTGATGCTGAAGGC